CAAAAAAAAAAAAAGAGGCAAGCAAAAATAAAGTAAAATAAGTGAAACTTGATTGCTTTTACCGAATCGGGTAGGACAAGTGTGAACTGGCATCGATCTGGGATATTGGTCTAGAATACCAGTCCCCTTTATACGAGTTCTTCGTACACGGGCAACTGTACACTTTATTAACTAAAGCTTGTCCAACACAAAAAACAACACACGAGCTCTTTGTGAGGAACGTTTGATCCCGTTTCCTTTGAGACTTGAGATTTTAAATAATATATGACAATTTTTGATAGTCTGTTTTGAGCAATAATTCTTTCATCGTCATAGGTTGCTGTGAAAGGGCACGTTTCCGTGGCACGGATGGCTTTTTTTCTGCGCGTTCATCTGAAGTTAAAAATAAACCTATTTATTGTAGTCTTAGAACATATCATTTTTTATAGTTTTTATTTTATATCCTTTGGTTCAAACTCACAAAAAACCCTTTTGAACGTATAACAATTGCAAATTTCCAAAACCGAAATACGGCGCGCAACCAGGGAGCCATATAGAAAGAGCAAAAAAATCAGTTTCCTCTTGTGTGTACTTTTAAACTACCAAGTATGAACATATAACACGAATCATACTGTAAGCCATCATAATTTTGACACTATAAATTATTTTTATCAAAGACAAATAGAAAACGTTGATTTTAATAATACTCGGGAGAGAATCATTTGCTTATATAATGGCGTCCAAAAGAAACTTGAAAATGTAACCACCCAATTATTGTGTTATAGGTTTCCTCTACCCGCTCATGCAGCTACCAATCTTAAGTTGAATAAATGCTGCTTCATCTGACGCAATAACACTTTAACTATGTTAAGAGACACCCGAGACATCGTTACTCAAAATTGACCTTTAAAATCAGGCTTGGCAAAATTGTGCGAAATCAGAGAAACGCAAAGGTTTGTTTCACGCGAATTAAAATGCATCAACATTGATGGAGTGGACGTGTGTTGAATATCAAATGAAAAGAGAATATTATCGTGCCTGCATTGAACAGCATCTTCTGATGATATTTTCGACCAGACTAAAGAACAGAGGAATTACAAATACCACACAAAACCAAAACTTAACATAATAATATGTGCTCATTGGTATTAATTAATTCAGTTTTTGTTCAGGAGCAAACGGTTTCGTGTCGTGTTAGTTAGATTTTGGACACAATCATCTGTCAGTGAGAAACAGAGGCCAAGAAACTGCCATGGTTCTGGGTGGTCTAGGGTGGAATGAACAGAACCGCCCTCGTGAGAATTACCTGATGGCTTGGTTTAGTGAACGACATCGGGCAAGTGCTGGAACGTCATGCCTTACCCTTACTTTCATCAAGGTGTCATTCAAGTAGACATCTCCACCCCCGGGACAGTGCCACCAACTGTAGTGTCTTCAGGCCATTCCCAAAGGGGGGACAATTCTCGTTCAAGCACAGTAGAATTGTAAATGGGCTGATTCATCATGTCACGCTCATAACTGTGCCTGGTCTACAACAGGGAACTGCTGCTTTTTCTTTCCTAATCCTTACTATTGTCATTTTCCTCTACTTCTTTTGTATGTTTGTCACTCTCTTGTGACCTGCTATTTCCTTGATAGTCGAAGCAGACTTTTTGCTGTTGAGGCTAGAGAGGTGAGCAGAGTAAGTCTGATTCCCTGTAAGGACTTCTTTGTTGACACCCGCCCCTTGGCGCTCATACTATAACTCTACTATAACTGACTAAAGACATCTCCATACATAGCAAATAACTTTCTCACATGGCCAATACCACTAGATACGTCTTGGAAAACCACCAAAGCAAATCAGCGTTGGGATGGTCACCAGTAAATAGCCTAACGTGAATTCTACTGGTATGTGAAGAGTGAAGTACCATGAAAAGACAACTGAAGAAGCGACTTTGCTCCCAACTCAGACCCTTTGTTTGCAACTCTCTATGACACTTTGGCTGAAACGACAGATAATTAAGTCCAAAATTTAATAGAGTCGATGACCAAAGGGTTAGTGCACTACACAAAACTAACAGCTCCGAAGCAAAATAATAAAGAGCACATTTAATGTTGAGTTCAATTTTTCGTGTTATTTGTCATATCTCTGTTTTTCGTTTTGTTTGAAACTGTCGTGACAAAACATCAAAACAGAATATTGTTTATTGCGATACAAAATTCTCCGTTCATTGGATATGTAACGTATGTCCATTCTATCAATATTGATGCTCCTCTATACACAAGCGAATAATTTTACGTTTCTTTGATTTCGCACAATTTTGCAAAGCCTGATTTTTTAATGTCAATTTTGAGTGACCATATCTCGGGCCTCTCTTAGCATAGATGAATTATTAAAGTGTCAAATGATGCAGAATGCATTCAGCTTTAAATTGGTATGTAATGCGAGGATTTAATATGATGATTTGATTATTACATTTTCAAGTTTCTTTGGGACGCCACTGTGTATAATTTAGACAAATTGATACAAGATTACCGTTTGTTCTCAAAGATAAAGTCTTTGAGTGGAAGTTGATAAAAATCTGTCTCATAATAACACGAACACTTTCCAGGGCTCTCTGCAATTGAAAACAACAGAAGAAGAAGAAGAAGAAGAAGAAGAAGAAGAAGAAGAAGAAGAAGAAGAAG